ATGTCCATATATGTGGCATTTTTATATGGATTAAATATCTTAATTGGTGGTCTATTAATTTGTCCATATATATGGCGCTTTAAATGGATTAAATATCTTAATTAGTGGTCTATTAATATGTCCATATATGTGGCATTTTTATATGGATTAAATATCTTAATTGGTGGTCTATTAATTTGTCCATATATGTGGCGTTTTTATATGGATTAAATATCTTAATTGGTGGTCTATTAATTTGTCCATATATGTGGCGTTTTTATATGGATTAAATATCTTAATTGGTGGTCTATTACTTTGTCCATATATGTGGCGTTTTAAATGGATTAAATATCTTAATTAGTGGTATATTAATGTGTCCATATATGTGGCGTTTTTATATGGATTCAATATCTTAATTGGTGGTCTATTAATTTGTCCATATATGTGGCGTTTTTATATGGATTAAATATCTTAATTGGTGGTCTACTAATTTGTCCATATATGTGGCGTTTTTATATGGATTATATATCTTAATTGATGGTCTATTAATTTGTTCATCGTGACCCAAAATCACAGTTGAGCCTTAATGGATAAATTAAGAAGAGCGTGGGAAACAACATCTGCAATTAACTTGATTATTATAACGACTTTTAGGCCTACAGTTTTCCGAGTAATTCGCTTGCTTTTGACTTTTAAGTTGCTATTTATAGTAGTTTGTCTTGAACTTTCATTTATGAAGACAAAAAATGTTTTCTTTATGTTCACCTTACTTTAATGTTGTCGTAATTAAATGGCCTTGGCATAACTTTATGGTTAGGGCGCTCGACTGCTCGAGTATCACCGTAAGCGACGTGTCAACTAAAAAAAAAAAAATTCAGTTGACAGCAATAATGATGACACCTTTAAATGGTTTATTAAATATTGATTAGTGCTACTGATTTGAAAATCGTGACGACATCCACGTTATAAATACTGGAAATATTAACTTCCAAATATTCATAAGTAACGCATCCAGACTAGTATTGAATATATTTTTTTTGGAAGGCGAGAAATGTTAAAAAACGTCACCTGGAAAATGAACAAAGGTTACAATGAAGTCATGAAACTCTCAACTTACACTATTACCGAAAAGGTCAGCTAATGATTGATTTTATGGAAGCTCCACCTCCTAAACCAATCACACTGTGGCAATGAGAAGAGAGAACATTGTATATGCATAAGAAATTTCAAACACTATAGTTTTCCTATCACAACTCTATCTCCTGGACATATGCACTCCGAGGAAATGGGAATACAAAGGGATTCGTACTGCCTATGAACTTTCACACTTCGTAGTTATTTCTGTAACTGCTCTGTCTTCTGAATCATGCACATAATGCCAATCAGAATCAGAAGAGAGATGGATTCGCTCATGTTTATGGGGGAAAGAAAGTACAGAAATCAGTACACACATCATATTTAAGTAAAGTGGAATCAGACTGATAGGTTTATAGACTGAAAATGTGATTGCTTAGATCTAAGGTGGAAGTTACAGTTGATATTCGTCGTAACCAACTTTCTGATGGACGAAAGATGGAAAATAAAGTTTAGTTTGGGACTAATCTTAGACCCAACTTCTAAGAAAATAAGGAATTGATAATTTGTAAAGAACATTTTCTCTATATCTTTAGCATTCTTTTTGGGCCTCGTTTCCTTCCTTTTACGTATTTGCCTACGCTATATATAAATATAGTAATACGTTATTGGTTATTGGAGCTTTGAGTAGGTATCCTTTATATCAAGTAAATCTAGTTTGGATTCCATTTTCAAATATTCTATGGAAATTTCATTTATCTAATACTGCACTCTTACACATATTCAAATTTATATATATACAAACATACATATAATTAACGTTATTTGAAAACTGTCAATCACTAAGTGAATGAGCATCTGTATAACATGAACAATCACATTACATGTAGAAGCTGACTTTTCACGTTACTACAACGTTATGAAACTATTAATAGGTGGCAGAAAAACGTTTTACCAGCGATCCATCAACATTCTCGAACTAAACAAACGGGATAGAAAGCTTTACCAGTGACCTTAGCATTATGAAACTAAGTTAAGTAAAAGGAAGCTTTATCAGTAACCAAACAATATCATGAAACTAAACAAACGTGGTGGAACGAAGCTTTACTAGCGACCCAACAATATTATGAAACTAAATGAAGGTAGCTTGTTTGTTTGTTATGGATTTCGCGCAAAGCTACACGAGGTCTATCTGTGCTTTGTTTTTGTTTTGTTTGTTTTTTTTTAATTTCGCGCAAAGCTACACGAGGTCTATCTGTGCTAGCCGTCCCTAATTTAGCCGTGTAAGACTAGAGGGAAGGCAGCTAGTCATCACCACCCACCGTCAACTCTTGGATTACTCTTTTACCAACGAATAGTGGGATTCAAATTCGATGACGAGGAACCCACTTTGAGACTAATAATGGCTGAAGACGGCTTGAATGGGTTA